AATGAATAACGTAATACATCATTTACATTGATAACCAACATTCAGGAAAGTATGGGACTTTCCTGGGGAAACATTGAACATGACCACGTTTTACAGATACATCTTTTACAGTGATAACCAACATTCGGGAAAGTATGGGACTTTCCTGGGGAAACGTTTACATAACCAGAAAGGGTAACAAACCAGATAACTTTACTTTACATCTTTCACAATTGGCAATATACAATCAGGAATGTACGGGAATTTCCTGGGAATACATTGGTACCTAACCAGAACCAGTATACCAAATCAGATAACTTAACTGTACATTTACTCAAGACAAAACATGTTTTTAGTGTACAACTTTACTTTACATGTTGACAAACGATAACAAACCTTTTTAAGAAAATATGGGATTTTCTTGGTGTGCGTAACATTTCAGAAACAGAAAGGAAGCTTGAACATTTCACAAACAAAAACCGCTTATGAACTCACCAGCGTTATGCTGATTTTTAAACCACTTGTGTTCTCAGGTCAGCGTTAGAACAGGTACCCGAAGATCCTTTTTGTCCGAAGACGGAGTACTCAGAAGACCCGTTTCATTTTGTTCATATATATACTATGTATCACAACTGTACAACTTTACTTTTGAAACAACTGTAAAACTTTTCTTTATGTAATGTAATGGTTGTTTTACTTTACTTACTATGTGCATTGGATTTGATACTCAACGTGGAGTCAACCCCGGAAACGTTTCCGCCTTCGATTTTCGGGGTGTGACAAATTGGTATTAAAGACCTTGTTTATAGTGAATGAAGTATACCAAACCTTACATGGTATAAAACTATAAACACTAAAGGGCCTAAGTGCTCTGAATTAAAAGTATCTTCAAACTACAAGTATTTTCAAAAGTATACAAGTATACCAAACCGTCGGGATTCGTAACTACAAGTAGAACAGAACATACGTAAGTGGGTGTTGTATGCTATGGTTAAACCTGGGCAGTTATGTAGTCGTGTCTACGGTTAATATAGCCTGGCAAACTATATATTCATACGAGACATGGCCAACATGTGCTTGGGAGTGACTGTGGTGTGCGACATGCCTAAAACTTACCCTAATATCCCAAACATCGAACCAGTGTCGTAAGCAAATCATGAAATACTATCGGAGTATTTCTCGATCCAATCCCCTATAGAAATCCTCATTCGAGTGGTGTTCTGTGATCATTCTTAGCGATAAATTATCTGTTTTGATAACTCTTTCCTGCTTTATCGCTTATTCGGAACATATAACTGCCATATCTATCGATTCAATGTAGAGGACTTACCATCCTTTCTCTTTCTTGATCTTATTAGATCAAGATGCCTCCCAGAAAGAGACCCAGCTTAAAGAACAACAACAATCCTTCTCCGCCACCACCTCCTCCTCCATTTGATCTTGCATCGCTCTAGACAGTTCTGACTGCTGCAATGGTGGCAACCATGTCACAAATGAACCCCAGTAGCTCAGGGGTCCCCAGCCCTAAAACCAAGAAATTAATCAGGGACATCGAAAGGAGGGTTCCTATAAGGATTTCATGAATGCGAAACCAACATCCTTCAATGGCACTGGAGGTGTCATTTCCTTATCTCGATGGTTCGAGAAAATCAAATCCATCTTCGAAATATGTGCCTGTGCGGAATCTGATAAGGTCAAGTTCGCAGCCTGTACCTTCGTTGATAAAGCCTTGACTTGGGGGAATGACCGAGTCAAATCTCTGACCCTACCCGTAGCCAACGCCATGGGCTGGGAAGCCATGAAAGAACTTCTAATAGCCGAGTACTATCCCCGTGGTGAAATGCAGAATCTAGAGCACGAGCTCTGGAACCTGAAGATGAAAGGTTCTGACATTGCTGCATACACTTCTCGATTTGATGATCTCTCACTTCTCTGCTCGGGATTAGTCACTCCTGAAAGCAAAAAGATCGAAAGGTTCATTTGGGGGTTAACCCAACCGACAAAGGGTCATGTCTTCGCTGCTCGTCCGGATACCTATGATAGTGCCAAGACTTTAGCCCAAACCCTGATTGATCATAGCGATAATGTTGAGGAAACCACTACCACTCCTGAGCCGACTCAAAGGAGTGGTGAGAAGAGAAAGTTTTGGAAGAAGAAGAAGGGTCAATCTTCCTAAGGATCTTCCAAGAAACAGTCGACGGTAGCAGTCCATGCTGCTACTACCCCCGTTGCTGCTGCTTCTGTTGTGGGATCCACAGCTCCAACTCCTACCAGTAGATATGCTGGTAATCTTCCTCTGTGTGACAAGTGAAAATACCATCACAATCCTGGCCCCTGCCGAGAACTATCTTGTACCAACTGTGGTAAGAAGGGGCACACAGTTGTGGTTTAATGTTTTTCAGGTACTTCAGGAGACCGTGGCAAGGCGAAGGCATGATCGTACAACTCCTCATGTTTATGTTTTATGTTATGGTTCTGGGAATACTCTGATAATAAATTTCTTGAAAACCTTTTTGTAATAACTTAATGAATTGGGATGTTTTTGAAAAGTTTAAATTGGCTTGAATTTTTAGAGTGTTACAACATTGAGAAAAAACTCCCTTGGACAATTACTCAGACAATTGACAGCTATCTAGTGATCCTACTAGCGATCCAACTGGTGGGTAACGCGCCTAACAAGTATTAACCTATAATACTATTATTTATTAATCTCTACGAAATTGTGGTAATGAAAAATAGATCTTTCACTAGTCCCAACGAATACTGAAAGCTCTATCAAACAATGATCAGTCATGCAGGACAGTTGGGAAGCAGGACTATTTCGGCATATAGCTTTTTTGAAATCCAACAACCAAGCCAACTTGATCATTCTAAACATCTCTACCGTAAGTAGATCAATCAATATTATAACTAGAATTACTGATAAATCTTATTTATACATTCAAAACAATGACTATGAATATAAATATAAGTTACACTTAAAGCATGGTAAGTGCAGTTTAACGTACAGAGTGTTTCTAAAGAAAACCGGGAAAATCGCAGGCAAAACCTTGAAACCACACACCTCTAACAGTAGGGCTTGCTGAAGCCTCCTAACCTTGCTAGGAGGAAGTTTGCTCCAAACCCCGAAAAGCTCCCGAAAGTTGGATCTTAGTAAGAGATGAGAGAGTTTGGAGAGAAGAGGGTGTAGGAAATGAAGGAAACCGGAGTACTCTATTTATAGTAGGAAGGTACACCGCACACTATAGATGCACACCATGCTTCTTGTCAGGGCGCTGGCATGGCTTCATTCAGAGGGTGAGATGTGGCGGTTTTTAGGTGGAGTGTCGGTTCGCGCCATGCACCTTGTAGACGTACGCCCACGCTCACGTGGATTTTGAGTTTCTTGAAAAAATTGTATCTTCTTCTTACGATCACCGTTTTCGAAGTTCTTTATATTCATGAGTAGCTCTCGACGAGATCTACAGCTTTCATTTAGACTCTGTCAACTAAATCTATCTTTATTTTTAGAGCTATAAATTTTTAGGCTTGGACTATTAAAGTCCGTATAAAAATTAGGGATGTCAATGGGGGCAAACGGGACGGGGATTGCATCCCCCGCCCCCACCCCCGAAATTTTCCTGTTCCCCCACCCCCGCCCCCGCCCCGAATCCCAGGATTACCCCCGCCCCCGCCCCCGTTTGGGTTGATTTTTTTTTTGGCGAACAAAGGTGTTGGTTATGCTAAAAAAAAGTTATTTTTTGAGCTAAAAAAACCATTTTGGATAAGAATAGTTATTTATAACATAAGTTTATATATTTAAAATAAAAATATTATAACATCTTAAAAATGTTATACTATAAGCTTAAAAACATGATATTTAATTGAATTTTGGAAGTTCAAAATCATTGCTATTATTTATTATATTTTTATAATTAATATATATTAATATAAATAATATATTAACGGGGTCCCCATTGGGGGTTCGGGACGAGACTACTCACCCCCGCCCCGTCCCCGCCCCCGAAACTAAAACGGGTGTTAACATTGCCCCCGCCCCCGCCCCCGTCCCCGATTTTTTAAACAAATATTCCCCATTCGGGATCAGGGCCCTACGGGACTTTTTGACATCCCTAATAAAAATCACAACTCTCTCATACGATATTTGTTCTCGACTGTCTTTATATCGACGGATAAGTATTGATGAGATCTTCATCTCTTGTCTAGATTGTTTTTCCTAACAATCAATCAATCTTAATTTCGGTTTTTATGTCGCACATTGCTGATTAAAATTTCGAAAAATCATAATTTATTCATATGAAATCAGATTTGGACGTTCTTTATATGAACATTTTTATTTTTACGATTACTATGACTTTTATCAAGAATAGTTATCCTAAATAGTCCTCTATCAAAAATGTAACTGGTCATCTATACTGTAAAACAAAAATGAGGTGTTACAACCATCCCATACTTATTCGGATTTAATCTCCGAAATCCTACTCCTAGCACACCTAAACGTCATCTTATTGAAGTTTATCGAGATCAAAATAGTTAGCTAGCCGATTGCTAAAAAACTAGTTAGTGGAAAGTTTTTTTTTCTTTTTTTGATACAATATGATAGTTACTAAAAGCTAGCTGATAAGTTAAATAAAATATATAAAATGACATAAAAAAATATTTAGAAAAACATGTTTTTTATAATTTACATTTAAGAGTACAAAAAAACTCTAAAAAACTAGTTTAAGTGTTTTTTTTTAAGAAAAACTAATTTATAAGCTATTTTTTAGCTTAACAAAGATAACATATAAAATAAAATAAAATAAAATAAAATAACAAATTAATTAATTTATATTAAAAATAAAAAAATAAAAAAAAAATAAATAAATATAAAAATAAATAAATAAAACTACTACTAAGAATATAAATTAGTTTATCACCTAGTGACTGACGAAATACAGCCTAAAACACAAATTTTGATGTTTTAAAATCCATCAAACACCAAACACCAAACACCAAAATGACAATATTGGGTTCTAGAGATTTAATTCATTCAGAAATGATCTAAATTCCCTGCTCTTTTTTTCCATAGTCATCTCTCTTATAAATTCATAAGAGTACCTTAAACCAACGATCCATTGAACCAATTCAGATTTTTACATCTCATCTTTATTGGTTCAAAAGACATTGTAATGGTTCTTTTCAGACAGATAGATGTGTCAAAAAAAAAAAAACATACCGCATATAAATTATAAGTCCAACTGTTTTAACAATCAAAAGCCTAAATCAACATTTTATTTAAGTTTCATCAACCAAAACAACTCTCATTGATAAAATCATATTAAATTCCCCATGAGTCTTAGGATCATAGCACCAGTACTCTGGTCAATCAAAGCTTTTAGTAAATAATCAAAGATCAAATTCAACTCACGAGCACATACAGTGGCTTGTCTCCTAATCTCTCCCGACCCTATAATCAACAAAAATATGATATTAATTTATAGTAATTTCAATAGTATATACTGTCTGTGACAGACTGTAACTGTTACTGTAACTGGAACTGTAACTGTAACCGAAAACAGTACCTTCAATTCAGGCAATTCAATGACGCATGCGCACTCAACGACTTTGACTCCAACCCGCTCTGGAATTAAAAATAAAAAATAAAGAAATTGAAAGTAATGAATTTGTAAAAAAGGGAATTTTTAAAAATATTACCAAGTAGACTGATGGCAGCACACAAGGTTCCTCCAGTTGCAATTAAATCATCAATTACAAGAGCTCGTTCTCCTTCTTGTACAGCTCCAACATGCATCTCAATTTTGTCTGTACCATACTCCAATGAATACTCCTCTGATATAACCGCTCCTGAGATAATAACAACAACAACAAAAAAAAAAAATTATGTATAGCAATGTGTACTTTATGTGGGTTTTTCAAAGAAGATAAATGGTGTAATAGAAAGAAATGAAATTGATAGGTAAGGTGAAGAATGGGAGAAAAGGTGTACCAGGTAATTTGTTTGGTTTTCTCATTGGGACAAATTTTGCACCAATGGCCAATGCAATTGGAGGACCAAATATGAAACCTCTTGCTTCAACACCTATTATAAAACCAAAATCAGGCTAATGAGTTTCTCTCCATTAATTCAGAAAGAAACACCAATATGTAGCTTACATAATCCAAAGAGTCAAAAGGAAACAGCACCATAGAACTTTTATTAAGACACTTAAGCATTCTCATTAAGACAGCTGAACAATCCATTCTTGTGAAAAATATGTGCATTTGGAACACAAGTTAAGAAGGGGGGAGAAAGAAAAGTACACGATACTACCTCTGTTCCAGATTATAAACTGACAGATTTTGTAAAATCTAACACCAACTTTACCTTTTGTAGGTTTCTGATATAAAATTTAAATTGGAAATAAAGTTTGGAATAGATAGATATGAGAGTTATGATAACTTGTAGAACACAAACCTGTACATAACCACTAGTTTTTATGATTAATGTTTACAAATCTTGTCTTTACTCTGAATCAGGAGAAAGCCATAGCTACCTTTTCATACAGATAAATACTAACTAGTATATTACAAAGAGCTTAAACTACCACAGTAAGAACTAATACAAATTCAAAAAAATGAACAGAAGACCATGATAACAAGCCAGAAGAAAGATTACCAGCAACAACCGAGATGTCCTTGTCTTTATACCTCTCGACAAACAGATCGATCGTGTCCTTAAACGCCACCGGATCAAGCAACAACGTCGTTATATCCTGGAACAAAATCCCTACACACACAGAAACCTCATTAAGGCTTCAATTAACAACGATCCTGTGTCGTCTATACAGAGCAAATTCCAAATCCGTACTTTGTAGATGCAACATCAGTTGATCTCTCTCAAACACACACATTTAGGAAGTAGGGTGCAAACCTGGCTTCGGAAAGTCCGGGATGACACGAATGGCGGATGTGATTCTGGCGATGCGACTGTCAATGAGACCATCTGAAGTAGGAGGTGCCATGTTGGAGGAGTAGCTGGGGTTTAGATCGGCGGAGTATGAAGCTTGTAAATGGCGGCCGCCGGATCCTCGTCGTGCTGTTGACGCGGAGGTGGATGGCTTTTTTGTGCAAGTGGAAGGGAAGGATGGAGCAAGCAATTTTAGCGAATTGACGAAATTGCCACTGTATAGGAATGTGTGGGACTTCACGATGACGACATCGGAGTTGAAGATTTTAAGCGTATGATCCATGCCTCGGTTTTTTTTGTCTGGATCTAAATGGATACGAGAGGACAAAATGGAAAAATTAAAACGGGGTTTACATCACCTGGAATTCATGATTAGTAACTTTTAGGTTTTAAGTAGTGGATTGTGGTTTCAAGCTGCATCCTTCTTATCTGGACCGCAAACAATGCCTTCTGGGTGCGGTTTCCTGCGGTTTTGACCGCAATATGGGTAGAAATTGTCGCACTTTCTTCTCTCTCTTTATTTACTCTCTCTTCTTTCTTTCACTTCTCTTTTTTTTACTATGATTTCCACTCCCTGAGTGTGATATTAAGATTATTTATTTTTGTTGATCTCGACAACCACTGAATTTTGACGTTGTTGTTGGGGATTGGTTTATTCAGTTTGTTTCTTTATGCCCAAATCTCAATGTACAAGTACTTTAGTGTACAATCCATAAATTGAAAAAGAAGTGGGGTGTTGGAAAAGAAAGGAGAATAGAACATCGTCAAACTTCTAACCCCAACGTGGACCCAGAGGTTGAAACCTTATTCCTCTAGTGACACCAAAACTGAAGTAGAACCAGATTCTAGCCCCGACCCTCGCCAAGAGATTCCTGAAACACCACCCATACAACAAAACACATCCATCATAAACCAAACTCCAACCAGTATCAATTATCTCGTTCTAGAAGGACGCTCAGAATTGAAGTCAAACTTAGTCCATCACCTTCCAACTTATCGTGAACTAGAGAATGAAGACCTACACAAACACTTGAAGAAGTTCCACATAATTTGCACTAGCATGAAGCCACAATGTTCAACCCATGACAAAATCAAATTAAGGGCATTCCCCTTCTCACTGGCCAATAGAACAAAATTTTGGCTATTTTATCTTCCACTAAGGTCGATCAACTCATGGACAGACATGGCAAGAGCTTTCTTTGATAAGTTTTATCCCGACTCAAGAGTTTAAAGTATTAGAAATGAGATTTGTGGAATCCGCCAAGGTCAAAATGAGACTTTCCATGATTATTGGGAGAGATTTAATAGCTTATGTTTTAGTTGCCCATAACACCAAATACCAGAACAACTCCTTATTCAAAACTTTTATGAGGGACTATTACCAATGGAGAAAAGACTAGTTGATACTTCTAATTGTGGAGATGTCTATAGCAAAAATCCTCAACAAACAAGACAACTCTTCAACACCATAGCCACCAATTCTCAACACTTTGGCCCCCAACAAGACATGAAGAAGGACACTCTTCAAAAATCCAATGAAGTGGGGACATCAAGCCTCAAGTCACAACTTAAAGATTTTACATCTGTTGTTCAAAAGTTATCCATGTGAGGTACTCCACAAGTGATGGTATGTGGAATTATTGAACATCCTAAAAACATGTGTCCCATTCTCCAATAAGATACAAAATATGTAAATGCCATGCGTGAATTTCAAAGCTACCACAACAAACCATCCAGTTATCAAAACGCCTATAATTCAAGTCAGAAGCCTAATCCCAATATGAGCTACAACCCAATACTATTTCCTCAAAATGCAATGGTTAGACCTTCCTACCGACCACAAGAACCCCATTACTAATATCCACAATAACATTATAATCCAAACTACACCCTCCACATCACCACTAACAACCTCATCAATCCAAACCTAGTAGCTCTGAAATTTATCTTGAAGACATTGTCAAGTCTCTTGCCACTAGCACCCAACAATTACAAAAAGACAAGAATTAGTATCTCAAACCTTTAAGCACAAGTAGAGGATATAGTTACATCCTGAGAACGAAATAGAGATCACTCCCATTAAGGATCCCGTTGTCAAGAACGATGCTCAAATTGTTGCTCCAAAGAAGACTACCACTTTAGTAACTCCATTAGCCACTCAATAACCATTCCCCTCCCAACTTGCAACTTTAAAGAAGAATCCGGAAGAGAAAGGGATCTTGGACACTCTTCGAAAAGTGGAGGTAAACATTACTTTTCTTGATGCAATCAAGAAAAATTCTAGATATGAAAAATTCTGAAAAGAACTTTGCACTAATAAAGAAAAGTGAAAAGAAATGAAAAGATTTTAATAAGTGAAAATGTATCCATGTTTTTACAAAGAAAACTCCCACATAAATGCAAAGACCCCAAATTTTTTACGATCGCTTGCAAGATAAGGGATGTTACTTTTAGTAATCTCATGCTTCCTCTTGGTTCTTCCATTAATGTAATCCCCTATTCAATATATAACTCACCAAAATGTTGGTCCTTTAAACGAAATAGTTGTCTTAATTTCTCTTGTAGATAAATCAAGTGTTTTTCCTAGAGGTGTTGTAGTAGATGTTTTGGTGCAAGTGAATTAATTGGTTTTCCCGATGGATTTCTATGTGATTCATTTAGAGGAACAGGTTTCTTCCGAATGGACTCTAATCTTTCTGAGAAAACCATTTTTGAAAATGGTTAGGACAAAGATTGATGTGCATGCAGGTAATTTAACAACGGAATTTGATGGTGAAACATTTAGATTTAATATTTATAATGCTATGAGATATACTAGTGATCTCTCATCTTTTTATTTCGTTGATGTTGTTGCACTACTTGTTGGATAAGGTGTCTAAGTCCATAACCATTTCCGGTATGTACTTGACCCGGTTTGGCATGGTCCATTTGGGTTGCATGGCATCATGCACTTGGGTAGACTAAAATGAGAGAAAGGACACTTATGGTTTATTAATATATTATAGGTTATGATATATTAATAATATTATTTAATTATTATTGATTAAGAATTAATTTAGAATTAATTTTGTGATCAAAAGGAGACTAATTAAATATGTGGGCTAATTGTGTAAACATCTATTTCTTTAATAGTGGGCTTGTAGTCCATGATTTATTGAGTTGGACTAAAACCCATGAGATGCTCCATGGATGCTCCATGGTGGTTTTGAACCCATGGATCCATAAAATGAAAAGTCATGTCATTTAGGGTTTACATGTTGTAACCCTACTTGTAACGCACTATAAAATGGATGTGTTAGCTACCAAAATCGACCACTAGTGAAGAACAAGAGGGCATAGTTGCTTTCTAAGTGTGTTGAATTTATCTCTAAGTTATTCTAAGTGTATTTGGTGTTGTGTGAAGCATTTGAGGCATCACGTTTGGGGTGCTAGGCTCACAAGGATCTCAAAGGAATTCCAGTAACAAAAGGTATATCTCTTACTAGCTTTCATGTTTAAAAGTTCCCCATGCATGCTATATAGGTTATGAACCTTGGAAAATCAAATTTGCATGTATCATAGTTAAACATAGATCCACGGTTTCTAGGGTTGCATGTGCACCATAGGAGTGTTAGAATGCTCAAAACCGATCAATGGTATCAAAGCCTAAGCCTGTTTTCTTGATATTTGATGAAATCTTGTTGAAAGAGCTGAAAAACTTGTTGTCTGGACAGTGGACTCGTCGAGTCCATGGGGGGACTCGACAAGTCCAAGACCAACTTCATCCTACTCGACGAGTAGGTTCTTGCACTCGCCGAGTAGGAGTCTCTGATTGCAATTTTTTGACTTTTGCAGCTAGAAATGGACTAGAAAGATTACCCTAAATTGTTTTGGTGTTTTAAAACTTGTTTTAGATGGTGTAATGGTTATGCTAATCCATTTACAATGGCAAATATAAAAATTCCATGTTTGTATGTGTTCATATGATTCTTGAAGTTTTGATATGCATGTCCATGTTCTTATGAGTTATAGTTAGATCATAGGAATTACTTCCTAAATTGTTTAATAATTAATTTTTGATCAACAATGTGTTTAATCGGATCCATAATTTGTCCTCAAGTTATGGATAACCAAAAATCACTTTCTTTTAATGTCCATTTAAAACACACAAGTTACATAAAAATGAAGAGTCTTCACTTTTATGAACTATTAACTCATAAGTTATGAAATGAAAAGTTTTGAATAGTTTCAAAAATTACCCTCAAGTTTTGGAATTTGTAAAGTTGCACATTTAAGAATACTTTAATTCCAAACTCTTAAAGTTTTAAAAGTTAAAATTCAACCCTTATACTATTATAACATTAATGGTTAATAATTATATATATATATATATATATATATATGTATAACATCAAGTTGTTTTACCGTTAGTAGGCCTCATTCACGAAGCCGATCTATGAGGGGGTATAAGGTTATTGCCTATAAAATGATAGCTTAATGGGTTCACTCTCACCCACCGCTTCCTTGATCGGTGGAGGGTCGTTAGCCGAATGGGTAGGATAATGACTTTAATTTTCATTAAAAGTATAATGATTATTATAACGTAACTAAATGTTTTATAATTCTCAATCTTAGTTACTTTAGGAAAATGTGAATATGGTACTAACCCATGAAATTCACACTTTATACTTTACCAAGTCGTTGGTGGAGCGTGTGTGGGTAACCTACACACTAACTTGGACTAGTAAGGATAACTGTAACAGCCCGGATCCCCAGGTATCTCCATTTCCTTATATTTTTGGCATTCTGTGAGGGGACTCGGCGAGTTAGTGGTTGAACTCGTCGAGTCGGGTCGCGGTTTATAGCGGGGGTTCGCGTCCGGACTCGGCGAGTCCAAGGGATGGACTCGACGAGTCCGTGCTATTTAATGAAACCCTAATTCCCCGGACCTAAGCTCTATTTAAAGGACCTTATGGCCCTCATATGCGGCCACCTTGAACCCTAAGAGCCTCCATACGTCTGTAAGCCCTTGTGTGTGTGTTTGAAGGCCTCTTGTTCTTCATTTTGTGTGATAGTGCAAGGAAAGGAGGGAGAGGAGCAAGCTTGAAGTGTTGGGGAGCTTAGATCTGTTGCCATTTCATCAAGGGGGTCTTCTTGAGGTAACTTTCTGAGCCAATCTTCGTGTTTTGTGTTGATGGGCCAAATCTAGGGTTTCTTCTTGCCTTTCTTGGCATGAATAAGAAGTATGAGAGGTCCCATGGAGACATGGAACCTAGATCTGGACTTTAGCAGGTCCAGGAGACCCCTTATGACAAGCTTTATGCCCATTCATTTGAGTTAGAAGCTATACTTACCATATTGAAGGTTGTTTCTTCAAAATAAGCCTTGTATGCATTGCATG